ACCGGACTGGTGTTGTCTCAGTCAACAATTGGAAAGAAACACATGACATTGTATGAATGAGAATGTAATTCATATGATTTAGTGCAAATAAATAGGGAAATAATCATTGAAGAGTGCAAAGTTAGAGGACTTTAAAGTGACAGGTTAAAACCCCCAACTTGGTTTAGTGTTTTAGGTTCTGATACGAGATGTTAGCCCCTAGGTGGAGGGAATCGAGGGAACTCTGGAGTGAGAGCTAGTATCTTCCTTGTCTAGCCAGTTTTCAGAACTATTCAAACTTTAAATTAGTCAATGTTCTTTATAGCATCTCTAGTAAGGGTAAAGAATATAATTGCTCATATTTGGCACAACACAATTTGCATATTACCACAACAGAATTTCTATGCTTATTACTGATTCATGATAAACAGAATTTCTATGCTTATTAGTGATTCATGATAAAGAGAAATATATTTTCAAATTCAGTGTTTTTCTTCTACATAAACTTAAGTGATCTTTTTAAATTGTTACTATTTTCTCAAAATATCAAAAATACAAAAAAAAATTAGATTTTAATTACTGCGAATACATCTCTACTTTAAGTAATTGTCTTTTTAAAATAGAACGTTTGTTGTTCAATAGAGCATATTGCATATTTTTCCTGTGGGTTCGATATTCAGGTCTTAATAAAAAAGTCCTATATTACTTGATAACGATATTTATACTTGTGTAGTATCCCAACATATATAAATTGAAAAGTTAAATTCTTATTTACTTCAGGATCAAGTTTTGACTTTGTTGCAAAGTAAAGAAATATAAGTGAAAATATAATTAAAGTATCGTGATACTGTTGCAATAAGCAGTTATCTGGGATCAAGTTTTTGTCGCCGTTGTCGGGGATTAAAATCTTTAAGTAGTGGTGTCAACTTGATAAATCCTTACATATAAAAAATATCGTTGGCGCCGTTGCCGGGGATTAAAATATTCAAGTAGTGGTGTCAACTTGATACATCCTTACATATAAAAAATATCGGGATCAGTTACATACAGGTCTATTTATAACTCTAGACAGAACAGTAAAGAAAACATTGGGTACAATATGTAATTACCAAATTACTCTTGTACCACACCCCTAACCCACATAAAGAAACTACTCTGATTTGGACAGAATCATCTGCTCTGCTTCGCTTCAGAATCCGCCCCTTTATGGTATATGAGTCATATCTAACACATTAACAGTGCAACATTCCATCACAGATTTTCTTCATTTTTTTATAAAACATTCAACATAAAATAAAGCATAAATACTAAACTTATAAGTAAATAAGAAAAGGAAATAAACCACTGTTTTTGGCCTCGGGTCAATGTATTTGGGTATTGAATAGGTAAAGCTGCAGAAAATTTAATTCGAGCATATTACTCAAATGGGAATTCATTGGGTTAACATAACGAAGCTTTCCTTCATTTGATTAGCATGAGAAGTGAAGAAGATTAAGACACTGGGCTCGGGATTACGTGAGAATAGGGTAGTGAAGCAAATTTAGGCGACAAAGTGATTTAGGCGAGGCTTTTTTCTTCTTGATTTTGCGAAATTATATGCAATTATACATACATTGAGACAACTTTTCAATTACTTATATATTCTATACAAATTTTAAAACAATAAAAAGTAAGGTTTTTACTTACAGAGGTCCCTAAAAAAAGTTTCTTACATGTGAAGGTCCCAAAAAATTAAATTGACAAGTTAAGGTCTTATGTTACGGCTCTGTTGCGACTTTGCCTCTGCGACGAGCTCCTCTATGCCACTATTATTGTCGGCGACAGACAGAAACCGTATCCCTCGATCCCGCTCCCGGTGCCAATGATGCCTCACCTCACTTCTCTTTGTACGTCACTTCAGTCGAAGCCCCTTCGTTGTGATACCATCTTTATTAGAGCCACTAATACGCATACAAAGTCCTCTGAACCCCTCCGCTCCTTCCTTGCACCAAAGCCCCCAATTCGATATTTTCTTACGCTGAAACTAAACACATAATTCAGCCCTTTCACTTCTTTTTGTTCACACGATTTTTGCCTCCACCTCCACATCTTTGTTTCAGACGTAGCCATCACTTGATCCAACCCATAATTACGATTCCTTGTGAGTTCATGCCCAACTTCCCTATTCATTTTTCCAATCCAGCCGCAGACCTAACCTTTCACTCGTCTCCTCCACTCTGTTTAATGCTACAAATCCTCATTTTTTCCTCTTCGCTATCGCCGGCAATGACAGCGCTGCAGAGGAGCTCACCGGCGAAGTCGTAAAAGAGCTGTAACAGAACACCTTAACTTATAAATTTAATTTTTTTAAACCTTTATAGGTAATAATAAGTATTATTAAGAAAAAAAATCCCTATTAAAAAATCATAAATAGAATGACTTAAATTATGATCCTAAAAGCCACCTCTATTCAATTATTGGACCTCACATTCTTTCACACTCAACTGCCACTGTATCTTTTTTTATAAACGGTACGTCTCCTCTTTCTCTCTCTCTCCTCTGAATCTCTGAGTAATCTTCTGGTTCCAACATCCACTCCTTGGCTCTAGAAACGGCGCACAGGATTGCATCGGAAACGGCGTGCTACAAAGACTGAAACAAAGCCAGTTAAAACTCCAAGTAACCTCTGCGTTAAAAACTCAAACAACTGGAAAATTACTGATTAAACCTGGCAAAACAAAACCTCTGCTTTCTCCTTCTCTCTCCCTCATCTTTGACTGTTCCTCTAACTTATGCGCACTATCGCAAGTTCTACCTTTGATGATTTATGCACAATATTCGTGATAAGGCTTTAGAGAAAAACGTCTTGTCAGACGTGGATGGGTTGCCGGTCCGTGCCCCGACCAGCCGAGCTCTTCATGAGACCGGATCGAAAGAGGGAGATGAAGCTGACCACAGAAACTTGAGAAGCACGCACGTGTGGTGTGCGTGTGGGAGATCCATGACCCCACCTCCCACATGCCTTAGCTGTTCTTCTACACTCCTGTCGTCTAATCTCTACCACTTTTTTCTTAGAATTAATCATGCAGTGAATAATAATTACATTGTCTTGATGTTTTGGGAGAACTTTAATTGATCCACTTGCATAAAATGAAGCTTAATTACATTCAAATAATTATATTTAGAGTTCCTTTAAACCTTTATTAGTTTTGCAGAAGAACCGATCAAGCTTTGGTATCATGCGTTATTTATCTGGAAATTGTTTATTGGTTGGTCTCGTGCATTTATTGTTTTTTTGGCGTAATTTTTATGAAGATTTAATAATTTGTATATTTGAGAATACAACATTGAAAATGTAGCATTAATCAGTGATGCAATTGACTTATTTTCTTAAGTGAATAAAATTTATTTTTTAGGCAAGTTTGGTACAAAAAAACAGTTAATAATTCAATCATTTGCTTAAATTTTATTTGCTCTCCTATAATACATAATTGCATTTTTGTACAAAAATGATAATCATATAAAAATAGGGATTAAAACTATTTTATAATTATTTAAAGATATGATTTTATTTTTATTTTCAAAATAAATTTTAAAGGGGAACTTATATGCATATCACATAACTTAAATATCTAACATTTAGAAGTTAATATTGGTAATATGTTTAATGTAATGTTAAAATTTTAAGTAGTATATAAGGATTTATTTAGGATAGTTGTAGCTGTTTGAAAAACAGCTGCAAACTGTCGTAGAAGAAATAGCTCTGCAAAAATTTGTTGTGGCTATTTCAAATTTTATTTTAATCTACCACAAAAATTTTTAGAAAGTAATAAGAAAATGATTTCTCAACCAAATCATGGCTAAAAAGTTGTTCTAAACTGACCCTAAGTAAATAATAAAATTAGACAATACATATATAAATATATAAAAACTATATTATATGCATGTAAACTTTTCTCATTTATGAGTATGAAGAAGAATTTTATGGATATTGATACATCATCAAGAAATTCTCATCATCTGACATAATTCTTGAAGCATGACACAGGTTCTGGATGAACTCTAGAGTTAAAAATGTTCAACAAAGTTTAATCAAATTTCATCCAGAGCTTTGATTTTAACAAAATCATAATTAAACTGACCAATTAGATGAGATAGACTTAATAATATCAAACTTATTCTAATTTGAGTCAAATCAATCTCATATCAAATCATTTAATCACTTTTAGATGCTTTCTGGGCATATTTGAAAGGTCAAATGAATGTAAAAATTGACAAACTTATAGTCGAATCGAGCGTCTCGACAAGACGAATCGATTGAGCCCAAAATTGCCCAATTTCAAAATCGTTAAGGCACTCAAATGTTCATCAAATGCTTTCTGATCAAAGGAAGCTCTCCGGATCATCCGATTAAAATGATTCATATTACTGCACTAATTACAATTGTTGTAACTCTTTAAATAGAGTATAACCCCTTACATGAGGGGAAGGAGAGCTTGAAGTTTGAGAAGAGAGCTTGAAGCATTGATAATGAGCTGAAGTCCATGATAACTTCTCATTTCGTCGATCATCTGCAACTGTTGTCGACCATCGTCAACCGTCATCGACCATCGCGAACCGTCGTTGACTACCAACTGTCTGATGAAGTCAGTCAGTCACTATAGGTCTCTGCCCGTTTCTTGTAATAGTTCACTCATACATCAATGTTGTGACTTAAAAGAGCTTATAATCATTTATCATTTATGAGATAAGTGGTTGCAACTGTATTCATAATTTCATAGTAAAATTCTTCAGCTGAGTCAAGTCCCATAATTTATTCTTTTACAATTTTCTACTTATAAGTTTTTAAAAAACAGTGCTGATTAATTTTTCTCTTGTGAATGTGTCGTAAATATTTATATCACACTAAAACGGTAATAAACAACTCCACTGCCGCAAATTTATAATACTGCATCAAATATGATTTGCTTAGGTTAAACAAGCATCATTTTAAGTAATGTGTCCACTTCTACTGTGAAGGGAACCCGCTCTTGATTTGACAGCAGAAAAGAAAGCCACCAGAGGCATGCCTTTCCTCTTACACACACTCTCTCTTTCTGGTGTGAGCAGCCCCCCGTCCTATCTAACTCCCAAGCTCTATTTCTTCCCAGCTTTCTTCCCCTGCCAACCAGAGAATTGGAAAGAAACTCCTTCCCCTTAATTCATTCTGAATTCTATTCTCTTTAAGAGGCTTTTTAGTTACTATGGAGGAATTCCTTCATTTAGGCGGTTCCAGCACAAGAACACCCTTCACTTTCTCCTCGCCCGCGGGCAACTCCTTCTACGGGGTCAGGAACCAAAACCCTAATCTTAACGCTAACACTCCCAAGCTTGAGCCAGGTTCTTCCACTCACTACTCCACAGATGCAGAATCGATCAAAGCCAAAATCATCTCCCACCCTCAATACCCTGCTCTCCTCAACGCTTACATGGACTGCCAAAAGGCAATATTTTTATATATTTTTAATTCTCACATCAGAAAAAAAATAATTTTTTTATATATTTGGCTTATTTATTTGTTGTTGATTAGAGTAATTTTTTGATTTTTCAGGTTGGAGCGCCTCCGGAGGTGGTTGCGCGGTTATCAACGGTGGCACGCGAACTTGAAGCGCGGCAGCTTGCTTCGCCCAGCGGCTGCCGTCGCGGCGCGCCGGCTGATCCCGAGCTCGATCAGTTCATGGTTTGCATATTTTATAAGCTCTGAGTTCAGATCCTTTTTCATTGAAGTTCTAACTGTGTTTATATAGCTCTGCACATCTCGGCCGTACAATCCACTTTAGACCGTTGGGATTAATCTCATAAAATAAGTTTAGTTTTGTACAGAAATCTTGGAGATAATCCCAAGATATATGGTGCAGATCAATTCAGAAATCTAACGTCATGAGTTAACACTTATATTTATATTTTGCATAGAATTTGAAGCTTGATTTCGGAATATATCGTTTTATTCTCTAACTCTTTCCATCTCTCAGGAAGCATACTGCAACATGCTAGTGAAGTACAAGGAAGAGCTCACGAGGCCAGTGCAGGAGGCCATGGATTTTCTTAGGAAGGTCGAATCACAGCTCAACTCACTTACCAATGGCGTCACTGTTCCCTTCTTCACTTCCGGTAATCAATTAAACTTAACTAACCACTCAAATCTAAATATTTTATAAAATATTCGCATGAGATGAATGACGCAAGTCTAATTAATATTCAGACATGCGATTTTTTTAATGAATCAAACGGATAGATAAGTTCAAATTTGAAATCAGGCCTTCATTAATAATATTCGGAGGAGGTAAAGTGTGATAGAACACGTAGTGGTCTAGGAAGTTAGCCTTTAAAGCTTTCGCCTTTGTTTTTAGGGTTCCAAGGCACGAATCTCCTCGAAACCACTAACACTATCATTGCTCTCTCTCTCTCTCTTGCATACAATCTGCTGTCTCTTCTTTCGCTCTAGATTCTTATCAAAACTTTGGGTCATTTCATTCATTTCCACCTGCAAATTGAAACTGGACAAAGTACTGTCATGTCAACCTAGAAAGATAATAATTATGTATAAAGTTATACATGCATGTAGCTTATACTGTTAAAGGCGTGAATGGGGTCAATGCTACAGTGAGCAGGAAGGATACTAATAGTCGCAGTTTAGATATTGTTATAAACGCAAGATGGCCCTATTTCTCACAACCTGTAGATAGAACTTAGTTTTCACTAGGTTTTTATGCATAACTTGAGTATACATTGTACGTAAGAGAAGCATAGCGCTTGTTTAGTTCTGTGCTGTAGGACCGGGCAAAGTCTTCTGTACATTTGGCGTGAACGTTTCATGTTTTAACAGTGGTTTGTTTCTTTTTAATGTTTTGAATTCTTAGGTTTAGGTCTGTTCGGGGAAATATGTTTAAATATTATGTACGTGGAATGAGCTCTATCACATGTGATCTAAAACGGTAAAAAATTATCATTCTCGTGAAATAATTTTGGGAGATGTTTATTTGCCGAACGAAAGTAAATTCACATGTTGATGTTCACTGCAAGGGAACGGAGTTTCAGTGACTTCTCAAACAAGACCTTAGTGGTGACAGATTGATGGCTTTGTTTTATTAATTGATATAATAATTATAAAGAAAAACTGCATTTATGCATCATGAGCGATGCATTATTGACTGTGTATGAAATGAAACGATAAGTGAATGTATTATTGACCGTGTATGAAATGAAACGATAAGTGAATGTTTTTATAAGTGATACATTTTTTTAGGAGAGTTGATGGATCATTTGGCCCATCAAATAGCTAAATGATCAAATAATCAAATGATGCAAATCCGCAAAAACTAGCTAAATGATTAAATTTTAAATTTGATTATATCGGATCAAAAATTAATACCATTTTGTCAAATATCTAAAAAAGGAAGCAAGTTGTAATTTACAAAATTACTTTTATCCCAAATTTATTCATACTAATTTTATTTTATATTTTTTAAATAATACGATAATAATCATATTGTAAAAAATAATTAAATTATTTTAGCAAATAATTAAATTTTTTTTGGAGGAGGTGTGGGGGTTAAGAAATAGTCAAATAATACAAATTAGCAAAATTAAAAAAAATATATATATATATGTATATCTGAAAGGGGAAAAATGCATCATCATCATTGTTATTATAATTAGTTCGATGTTTATTACTTTTAGTCTTTTATGTATTTTATTTTGTTTTCTATTTGAGTTTTCCATCTAAATTTAAAGTCGGGGAACCTGCAATTTTAGCCTTGTAAATTGACAATATTCCTTTGAATTAAAGATTAAAGTAATATTAAAAAATTCTAAATTTTATGCTTTGATCTAGCCTTCTTTTGCTTTGTCCTCTCCTCTTTTGCTTAAATCTATCTTGAAAGCCCTCTATTCTTTGGTGCTTGCTTGTAGCAATGAGTAACATAATCGAAATCCAAATTAAAGCATTATTTAAACCATTTAAATTTCTAGTTGCTTTTTTTTACCCATTTCACTCAATCTTATTATTGTTAATTTCAAGTTTTGAAATAAATCTTAAGAGCTATATATAATTAGAATAAGATTAAGTGAAAGATAAATGATAATTCATTTTGTCAATATAATATTTAACTAATGTACATCAAAGTAGCAAAAAAATAATAATAAATAATAAAGAGATTAAGCAAAATATAAACATTATCAATTCTGTCTAAACATATAAGAAAAAGTAGAGTTGCTTCATTTTATCAATTTAATCAATTCTATCTAAAACCAATGTAAGAAAAAGTAGATTTGTATCATAATCTCAGCAATTATCAAAGAAATTTGTATTGTTGAGAAGTTTATGCATATTTTAATACTCCATCAATTGTCCTGGCAGAATATGTTATAAGAAAATTCAATAATATATAAGTTTGAACTGTCAAACCTAATCAATAATTAAAATACAAAATGCAAGGCACTAAAGCATATAACATGAATAATTAAAGGAATGATTTGCTTTGCACTAGCAAGTATTAAGTATCATAATATCAAGAAATTTAAAATATTAATGTATCAGTAAAAGTATATTATGTATTTTTAAGTAATTTATATTATTGTTATGCTTATGATCATCTCTGATAAACTTTAAGAAACACATTTGTTTGCTAAAATTAATGTGCAATCATAAATGGAACACTCCCACACACGCACACAATGGTAAACACAAATTTCATAAATATTCAATAATATCTCTAAAGGCCCATCCTTTTGATTAGCAGTTATTATAAAGTTTTAATGACGTTGAATTCTGATTTGTCCGTGAATCACACCTTAAATAATAGGGATTTTGAAATGAGAGAGAGAGAGAGAGAGAAGTGAATAGCAATGAACAGTGATATGTCTTGTTCATCTTTTTTTCTCATAAAATGATCTTTCTATTTATAGGAAAAAATGTACAATATAGTGTTATTACACGTGTGCTCCTGTTTTAATGAGGGTTGTACGAGATATTTTATGTATTTTACGTATATGAGGTTGTTGCTTCATTGCTCTCTAGCTCAGTCGACTGAGCATGTTGACTTTTAGCTTGGTAATGACAGTTTGATTGGCTAGGTTGAGTTGTCATTGTCACTTGGCTGATTTTGATTGTTTTCAAGTCCACGAGACCGATTTGATCGGCTAGATTTTGCTGATCAGTTGATCTAGTCTGGTTGTCGATTCTTGATCCCTTGATGAGGAGCTCATTGGCGGAGCCAGACTTGACGAATAGGTAGAAGTTGAATCACTGTAACCCGACAGGTAACTCATTCCTCAGTAAGGAGAGCTTGTGGGATGATCATAAGACTCTGTTGTAATATCAACTATTGGTTCCTAATTAGGAGCCTCGAAGGCATTTGTGGGATAAATAGTGATATTGACTGGGCCCTTCTTCGAGTCGAATCTACTAGAAGATAGGTTGTTGTCTTTGACTGGTTTTCTTGTAGTGGTTAGTTTGGATGCTTATTTGTCATGTTTTAGTTTGACTGGTTTGAATTAGGATTGATTGATCATTTTTTCATCCTTCTACTGACACGACCGGCCTTCAGCTTTGGCTCAAACGACTACATCAGATAAGTGAGTCTCTTGGTTTTTCTGTCGGTGGGTCTTACTGTGTTGTATTTTTTTTTTTTTTTGACCTTTAAATCTTTTTGGGATCAACGCAGATATATTTTTTATGTACATGTTTTACTTCTCCAATTCTCTTACTTCTCTTACTTCTTATAAGTGATACCATGATAAGAATAAAAGAATTTAATATAAAAATGGATTGCATTTTTTTTAATCAATGATTCAATAATTAAACTCTCTTGTTTTCTATCTCTGGTTCTTGTAAATAGGGCATAGACATGACTATTTGACATTTCATATTTGTTTTGCATCTTTTCTAGTCTGAATTTGATGGTTTCCAACCGCTGTCATGGACAACATGTCTAATTTACTAGTTGATCTCCCCAATAAGGAGTTGCTTATGGCTACCTTTGTGAAACAGAAAAGGGGGCACCGCTCAGAAAATGAAACAAATAAGAAGAAAATTCTTGGCAAGATGAAAATAGACAAGCCGATGGATAAGTAAGGTCATCTTACTCATTTCTTGGTCCTCAACTGTGGGAAAATTGGGTGGATGATGCAGGTAGATTGGGCTGATCGTGCATCGATCCATCAGTTCAATCTTCTTTTGTGGCTTAAGTCTTGCTACTACAGGAAATATATTGATTAGCGTCGGAGATTTCTGATGCTACTCAAGTTTTATGTCGGATTTATATAAAAAATTTTCTGACATTAAAATGGGCATCGTTAATTGGGGTTACATCGACATTTATGCCGGATTTTTATTTACATCGAAATCACCATCATAACAATCCACCGTTGTAAATTTCCATCGTGAAAACAGTTGACACAACTTTAACATCTAATTAGCGTCAATCATATGTAGCTTTGGGATTTTACTATTTTACCTGCATTTGTTTCTAGAAGTTATATCTCCTCTTGCCAAACTATTTCAGGTTCAATCTTGCTTTGATGTTCTCTTTTGTTTTTCCCTTAATTTCCAAAACAATATTAAATATATCATAAAAAAAATTCTGCTTAATATGCATAACATCCAAATTATGCCGGTCAGATAGGTTCTCCAGTATGGAAGATCCAAAAAAATACTCTACATCATCTCGTTATGTGTAATGCCAAAATCTGGAAGATGACTCGAGGCTAGTTTCGATCTTTCAGTGATCTTTAGCACTTTACTGATTATCAACAATAAATTGCTTCCACTTATCCTTAGGAGTGGAGTTGATCTTTTAGCTCAATTTTTAAAAAATACATCTTTATTTTTCCTGAAAGAGTGATCACATGCTAATAACTCTCGATAACAATTGAACCAAGAATTTTTTTCTTCAATGTTTCAAAGTGAATGCTTTATACATGTTCATATAGTAGGGATAGACCAATTTCACGGTTGTGCTCCAACTACATAATATTATATATGTCGGGAAATCACTGATCATTCACATAAGAGCAGGTTTAAGGTCAAAAATTTGTTTCATTGCAATATCATAATTCAACACACATGTTCACCACAATACCTGAGCTCATTTATGATAGGTTGTAAGCAC